AGAGTAATAGTGGGTCAAAATTTACACAATAAAGTATACTGTTTTGGTGTGGGAGTTGTCATGAGGCTGTGTTGAAGTGACTTTACTGTGTGGGATGTTTGAGTACCCATTAAAATTTATTTGTTCAGCCATTTACTTTAATGAGCATTTCAATGCAGCAGGTACCATTGCAGGTAACGTCTCATGAATGAATAAAAGTTAAATGCTATTGGATTCTTTTCTGTTTTGACAAGTGCTGTCTGTACCACTTCCAACTTCTGTAGTAAGAAGGGCATTACCATTCTTCGCCTGAATTCTGACCCTGTGGTTTTACTTTTTTTGTAGTTAATTTTACCCGTTTTATTTCAAGTTCTATATACAGTCTCTAGCAAATGTGATGTCTCCATTTCCACATTTTTTGCACTGCTTACACTTAACATGCAATCTTATTTCTTGTCTGCACACAGATGTGGAAAGCTAGAAATAAATGTTAAAGCTTAAAAATTTTATAAACATTTTAATACACAGTTTGGACATGATTTCTTAAGGTTTTTCTCTAAACGAAGTGAAGTGCATGCTTTCTGGCTTTGAAGATGTTCCGGCTTTGTTCATTCTGTAATAAGCATTTCATTGGGAAATACCAGTCAAGCTATATGGTTTTTTTTCCAATGAGTAAAGTGTCTTTATCTTTTGCTTTAAAAATTATGGGTTCTTCAGGGTAGATGTCATGCTGTCAAAACTCTTATGGATTCAAATTATGAATGAGAAATTAGTAACATAGTGCTCCACAAATAACTGCTCGTTTGCTACTTTCAGAATCTTTCCAAGACTTGTACTTTAACAGCATTATAGAGGCACGTCCTTGAAAGCCAAATGTGAATAAAACTTATAAAGGGTGAGTCCCTTAATTGGCTTTCAGCTGGACATTTTTTAGCCTTAGATGATAGGTGTTTACAAAGATTACTTCCTTAGGCTAACTTGATCATAGTGGGTGTGTCCAGATGTGTCTTAGACTTGATACTTTGCATATCTCCTGTGTTGCTTCTAAGGGATTAAGCCATAGAGGCTTCTCCAGGTTTAAGAACAGTGAAGTACCTGGAAAAACACACATTTCTGAACGTGTAGACGTTGGATTTGGGATCATCACAATGATACCTTCAAAAAAATCTAAAGGATTTGCCCTCCCCACTCCAGTAATTGGATGTGACTATTGGGTGAAGTATTGGTTTGGACTGTTTGTTGTACCTTTTAATGCATAGTTTTGTTTTGTTTTTTTTTCACCTATGAACTATGAATACAGTTGGCCTGTTAGTCATAAATTACATTACAAAATTTTTTTGTGGGGGGGTAGGTTGGCAATATGATAATCAGACTTTTTTTAACTGGTTAGTTTGCTTTTTCTGTGTGGGTGTACTCACATTTAAAAAGTATGAACCACAGTTAAGTGGTCTCAGGGGTAGTGAAGCACTCACTTTTCATTTTTAAGTATGAACGACTTAGTATTAAATACTGATCATGCTGTGCTAGTGATGGGGGGGTGACAAAGTAGCCATGTTTTGTGTTGACATAACTGTTAACTGATTGTTGATTACTTTTAAGTGAATTGTTTTATGAGGAATCCAGTGCAAGTCACCAAAAGAAGTGACATCTGCCTAAGATTTGTAATAGCTAAAGCTAATTGAGCTTAAAGGAATTGTTACCATTAAAGTCTGTGTTTAAAGACACTTGGTCTTACTCATTCCAGCAAACAAAGTGCACAATTGAACTTGATACTGTGTGCGAGCTCAATTTTGAATGTACAAATAAAGGTAGTAGTGGTCTATGAAGGGTTAGTATGATTGATTTCAGAGTGTGACTCAGCCAGTATTGGCATCATTGGGGAAGGTCTTACAAACAAATGAGGTCTCATCCCTGTTAACATTGAATGCGGAAGGACTCCCAGTGATTCCATATAAGATCGTTTGTTTAGTCTTGTGTTCCTTTGTGACAAACTAGATAGTAACTTGTGACTTCAACTGAGCTCTGCTCATTTGTGGCTACTGAGGCTATATTTTGTATGCTTTTATGCTCAACATACCATAGGTGATAATTACTTAAAACTACTGTGTAATCCAGCCAGTGTTCAGGTGTTAAAAGTAACCAAGTTTGAGGATTTGCCTGTGTGGTAGGTAGCAGCTGAATAAAGATGAGCCCAGATCTCATTCTGTAAAAATGAAGATTTACATTTGCAGTGTTTAACAAGTGTGCCCTAGGTAGGTGTGGTCATGCACACCTGTAATCTCAGCACTTAGGCTGAGGTAAGCAGAACATTGCAAGTTCAGACCTTGTCTTAAGCTAAAAAAAAAAAACCCAAAACACCAAAACCATTAAATGTGGCCTAATAAATACTGTTTTAAAACTTACTTAGTGGAAAATAAATGGTAAAGGGTTTTAGAGACCTTGTTTTCCAAATATAGTGGAATAAAGACTGAACAGCTTCCTAGGAAGCCTGGAGGGATTAAACGTTACCTACATTTTTTTCTAATTTTATGACCTTAAGTTTTTCTGTAATAGGGAAGATGGTTTCATGTTTTTATAGACCATTCTCTGAGCCTCTGCATTCTAATTCTGTTCACCATTGTTAATACTGTCTAAAAGTGCTTTCATTGCTGCTTAGAAACAGCTCATGGCTGGCCTGCCACTTTACTGAGCCATAGACCATCCTATTTGCTGTACTTGTGGCTGTTCACAGGGCATTGTTACAATGTTTAAAACTGGCCAGGTTAGCTGCTGCTTAACCTCTGTGTAAGCAGATTGCCTGGTACCAGGCCCAGCTATCTTTACTTCCACACTCCTAAATAAATCTGCTTCAATAATGTGCTTGGGGCCTGTTGGCTTACCATCTTGCCACCGTGGTGTAAAGCTCCAGTCTTAAGTCTTTTTTTTTTTTTTGCTTCTTGGTATGCAACAGTTCATTCCCCACACAACATCCAAGTCAGGTCATAGCAAATGTACAAGGTATAAAGTCACAAAATTGTTTCATAATAAAATTCCATTCAAAATTAAAATTGTGCTATTTGTAATGAATTTAACCATAGAAATGTGAACCTTGTACAAGGAAACTAAATTAGAGAAGTCCTAAATGGGAAAGCATCCTGTGTTTGTGGATTAGAAGACTTAAGTACTAGCTCAGTAGAATAAGTGCTTGCCTGGCAAGCACAGGGTCCTGAGTTCAATCCCCAGTACCGCAAAAATAGAGTACTGTTGAGGTGTTAGGGTTTCTCAAAGTTAATTTAAGATCAAAACCAATCTGTCAAGAACAACTGGCTTTCGGGAATAATTTGTTTAGAAGATTGGATGGTGCTGAGGATGTCTTGCCGGGAGAACACGTAGCAACATATGTATGGCCAGATTCATAAATTCATATGGAATTGTAAAGGACCATAAAGCTAATCTTTAGGAGTAAAAGTAAAGAATTTATACTTAATATCAAGACTTAATACAAAGTTACAATAATCAAAACTGGTACAAGGAGCAACTCGAGTCATCCTTTTCTTGGAAGTTTTCTTTCCCCCAATAAATGTTCTGCTGTTAAAAAAAATACTAGCATAAACATGTGGGACCATGTAGTAGAATTGAAAACATGTTTATGAACAGTTTTTTGCAAGGGTGACAAGGCCACTCAATGGGGAAAAGTAGTTTTCCACAAATACTGCTGGGACTAGTGAAGTTTATGCAAAAGAGTTAACCAGGGCACCTATCTCAGCATATATAAAAGTTAAAATGGGTCAAATTCCTAAGTGTGATCTAAAACCAAAGACTTAGAAGAAAATGAGTGTTTCATGGCCTTAGAATTGGTAGGTATGATACTAAAAGC